GGAAGCAGAATCCCACACTTCTCTACCCATCAACACCTACATTCCCTGAGCCCCCAAGGCCAGTGGCTTCCTCTGTCTGAGTCCCCCACAACCAGCTCAGTTCCCAGGCACTGTGGTCTCCACCTGGGCAAATGTGATACCTTCCTATCCGTCCATACATCTCTCCAGTTGTACAGGACCTGGGAGAGACAAACCTAATCCTCCACAACCTGGGTAGAAACCTGCCTGAGATCTGCACAGTTCCCCCCAACAAGCAAGATGACCCCTGTGCACCTTCCCCAGAAACTGCCAGGACCCAAAGCCCACCCTAAGCAGGTGCTATGTAGCTGTCAAGAGGACAAGGCAGCTCCATGTCTCCTCTGCCATGGAGGGCCACGTGGGAAAGTCAGGCTGTGCAGCTTGCATGTCTACGTAGAGAGGAGAAGCCATGTCCATGTGTGGCCATCTGCTTACGCTGCATGACATCCCTCCAGGAAGACAGGCTCTCAGAGCATTTTCTCTACACACTTCTGGATTCATTATGAATTCTGAGCCAGGCAAAGTATTATTCTTTGGAGTGTAAACCACTCACATATAAACCACTCCAGCAGCTTTCTACCATGAAGGGAAACTCCAGGCGGGGCCTTCCTGTATCCTTACCCTCTGGCCCAGGCCTCCCTCCTTGGGGCAGCTCTGGGCAGGGCAGCTCCTCCTCACCTATCTGACCTTAGCTGTGGGTGCCTCCACAGAGGGCCCTTCCTACCACTCTCCCTTCACCCAGTTCATCCCTGTATGTCCGGGGGCTCTCTGGGGCAGAGGCTCAGTCTGCGCCTCACCATGAGGTAGGCATACTCCTACACAGTATGCCATTGGGGATCCCTCCCCCAAGATGAGCATACCATTAGGGCACAGGAGAGAGTGGGCCTCACAGCAGGAACAGGGACCCCCAGCTTGCCCCGCCATGCCTGTGGCTCCCTGGCCAGGGCTCAATGGGACAGCCCATCTTGACATTCTGGTGACCAGCACAGCTCCTGACCACCTCTGAGCCTAGAGTCTGCAGGGTGGGGGTGACATACCCCTACCCCCTCCCACCGTGCCTCTTGGTTGTGTGGCTCAGATTCCCTGTTGCATGGAGAGTACTGAGTGTCCCCCAGGTCTGGATGCCAGGAGGGCCGGGTTATGGGAAAGATGGGGTCTCTGTGGTTTATTATTCGTTCACTTTTAAAATAAGAAGCTGATAGCTTTAGGTGTCCTCAGAACTACCCCAACCTGTATGTGAAGCCATCATGCCTCTGCCACCAACATGGGCCTGGGGGCACAGCTCTGGCCCCAAACCACACCCAAAGCCCCATGCTCAGTCCTGCAGGGTGAAGGGGAGGAAGAGGGCCGCCTGCGCCCTGACTCAGCCTGAAGCTGGAACTCATTTCCTGTTGGAAACTCTGAGCTGCCACTAGGACGGCTGTGGCTGGGAAGGGAAGACTGAGTCACCTCTGTTGGGGGTGGGGGTGCCCTCCACTCTGCCCACTGTGGCCACACCCAGAACCCCTCCAGGCTCTACTGCCAACTGCCTGCCCAGCTGGCCCCGCCTGGACAGCAAGAAGGAAGGAAGGGGAGAAAGGGAGGGGAGGGCAGGACTCCCCACTCACCACACCCACACCAGAGAATGGAAGAGGCCATTCCACCGAGGCTGAGGGTGGGCAGGGGCCCCAGATCGGGAAAGGCCCCAGTGAAGGCCCCAGGAGTTAAGATCCCAGTGCTGGCCAAGCACTCTTCTCTTCATGCCTCCGCCCAGTGATATGGTTACCATTTACAGGGAAGCTGAAGAGGCCACTGACTTGCCCAAGGCCATGGAGAGAGCTGGAAGCCAGCCTCCATGCCACAACCTCCCTGACCCTTCAGATGTGCTCCCTTGGCAAGGCTTTAGTGATCCAACCAGACAGGCCAGAACCAGAACTCCTTTTCCTCAGCACTCGGCCCAGCTGTGCCCGGCCTGGGGCCTGCACCTGGATCCCCTCACTCTGGTTCCCTGCAAACTCCTGCCTGCCTTGTTAGCCTCAGCCCAGGCTCTCTTTCCAGCCCTCTAGAGAATAAGCTTCTCCCCAGGGTCCAATCATAAAGATGCCTTGCACTGAGGGGTCCAGGCTGTCCTGAGTTGGCAATGAGTGCAGTGTGCCCCAAGAGAACACGTAAGCCTTAGGCACAGGACACCTCTGCCCACCTGGGTCCAGCAGACCCAGGAGCTTAGGGTCAGAGCGAAGGAGCCTCTGGTAGTCCCTGGGCTGACAGGACCAATCCTTTTCTCTGACACCTGGTTCTCAACTGGGAAGGACTTAGCTGACCCTGTGCCAGGCCCAGGACCCCTACCCTGCAAGTGGACACTCCTTCCTGGGTTCTGTTCCTCTACCACTAGGCCATGGCCAACCCTAACCCAGCCAGGCATCCAGTCATGGGGGACACTCAGTACTCTCCATGCAACAGGGAATCTGAGCCACACAACCAAGAGGTTTGGTGGGAGGAGGTAGGGGATATGTCACCCTGCAGACTCTAGGCTCAGAGGTCAAGCAGTTTGCCCAGGCTACACTGCCAAAAAGTAGCTAGGCCCATCCCATGCCACCAGCTCTTTTGCATGCCCCCTACTTCTGAACAGAGGGGCCTCAGACAGACAGCCTATTGGGACAGGGAGAGGAATGAATGGGGACAAAAGAAAGGACAATGCTTAAGAGAGTGGCCCACGCTGAAATGGGTGGGGCTGTGACAACAGCTGGGCCCGCCAGTCCAGGCCCCACAGGCCCCACCCCCACTGGGATGTGCCTGTCCCACCCCAATAAGGTCCCCAACCCAGGAGGAGGAGCCAGTAGGCCCACTGACCACAGCACCCAGATCCCTCAGGCAGAGAGGGCACCACCTGCTGGTGTGAGTGGAATCCCCAGCACTCATGCTGCCCACCCTTCCCCAACAGGCCCAAGCCTGGGCGCTGCGGACATCCACATCTCCCCTTCCCACCCTCTCCATCTGGAACTAGGATGCAGCTGACCTGTGGCTGGGGTAGGCTCCAGGCCCCGCCTGGCTAGGGCTCCCAGAGTGGTAGTGGGTACCACAGGGGCTTCAGGTGACCCCTCCTCAGCTTCCTTCCGGCGGTAGGCCCGCCGCTCCTCTGGGGCAGGGTCCTCAGACAGCTGAGGCCCCCGCTTGGGCGGACAGCCCAGGGGACCCTGCACAGCCTGCACATGAGGGGTGCGACGTGCAGGCATCACCATGGTGAAGGGGCGGCGCACACGCTGCAGGGAGGCAGGCAGGATCTCAGGTGGCAGGTGCAGGTGCTGGCGTAGGTGGGTGATGCCCTCATTGGTCAGGAACCAGTAGAAGTGGCGCCAGGCAAATGTCTCCCGCACCAGGCCCCGAGCCCGCAGGGAGGCCATGGCTCGCATGACCTGCAGGTTGGTGACACCAGGCACATGGGGGTGCAGGCTACGGGGCCGCCGGTCCTTCTTGGCCACCATCACCCCCTCGCGGAAGAGCACCTCATAGATGGTCCGCAGCTGGTCCAGCGGCATGAGCATGCCAGCCACCATGGCTGCTTAGAGCCGGCTGGTCGGCACAGGGGCAAGAGAAGCAGGAGGAGCAGTGAGGAGGTGGATTAGGCTTCCTCAGCACGGGGTACAGGAGGGGCCAGCAGCAGGCAGGAAGGCAGGCAGGCAGACTCCTGCACCAAGTGCAAGGCCGCGGGCTCAGGGAAGAGTGGCTCCAGTGCCTGGCTCTGTGGATTCCTGCCGGCACTACCGCCTGCTGGAACCTCCCGCCTGCCCGCCCTCCAGGACGCCTGGGCCGGCCTCCTCTGACTCAGCAGCAGGGGCGGCCCCTCCCACGCACAGACAACGGCCCCTTGCAGAGTGGGGGCCTTCACCCCAATGGCACCCCCTTCCCTCTTGGGCCCCATGGCTCCAATGTCAGAAATTACATCAGTTTCTAAAACATTTCCTTCAGGTTCCCAAATCTTTGTGGGGAGGATTAGGGGGTAATATAAACCAAGAATCACAGAAAAAAAAGTGGCAGAATGAGCAGAAGGCAGGGAGCAGAGAAGGCAGGAAGGGTCCACAGGCTGGGGGCCCACCAAGGGGTGTGGTTCCAGGAGTTATGGAATCACAAAGGTCTGAAGAGAGAATGCTGGGTTGCATGGAACTGGGGGCACTTGAGGTCCAAGAGGGGAGGATGAGGGCCTGGGGAGGAAGCTGGGGTCTTGGGCAGACCTAAGTGCAAAACAGCAAGGGGCAGTTGTCAAGAGCACATGGACAGGCAGGTGCCAGCATCTACTGTCCATCAGGCAAGCAGAGGAAAAGAGCCCCCACTTCCAAATGGCACCAGATTTAACTCTTCCCATTCCAGGACAGATTAGGGACAGTCCAGAAACACATCCACTCCCAGCCCAGGGCACACTGAGAAGGGAGGAGGGGGCGCCTCTGGGTGGAGCTTCTATCCACCCCCTCTCCAGGACAGCTGTCAGAGAGGCCAGGGAGTACCACCTGCCGCAGGGAATCAAAGTCATTAAGTCCCTACCACCCCAGACCTGGCGTCCCTGCCACCCACACAGACTCTCTACTGGGGCAGCCTGAGCGCCTGCCTGTGGCCAGAGTGACAGATGATAGGGAAAGGACGCCAGGAGTTTCATATGCCCACCGGAAAAGAAGAGGAAACTACCACAGGAGGCCCTGGGAGGTGAGTTACCCAGCCACACCCATCCTCACAGCCAGGCACCCCAAACCGAGGGTCTGATCATAGATATCCTGTGCTCTTATCCTACTCAATACCCCAACTCTCCATGCAGTGCCCCATCAACCCCCACCCGGCTCCACTCTCCTGGAGTTGACACACCCATTCCCACCAAGCACTGCAAACCCAGGAACTGATTATAAATAGGGCGGGGGTGGGGGATCTTGCGGTGGGAGGCACTGGCCAGCAGGCGGGCAGGCAGCCAACAAAGCGTTGTGGGGAGGGTTTATGGGCTGTCTCCATGACACCCGAGTAGGCTCCAAACAGCACACCCAAACACACACAGACGCAGGCTGCACGGTGGAAACTGAACGCTCAGCCAACTGTTCCCGAAGCCCTCCTGCGCCAGCTCACTGCGGCAAGGCTCACCCTGCGCCCTGCCCCCAACCAGGCCAGCCCAAAAAGGTAGGCTCTTGGGAGGGCAGGACACCAGTCCCAGGCAGGACAACAGAATGGCAGTGGGCAGTTGCCACATCCCCTCAGCAGCGACACCCAAGGACCCTCCACACCACCAGGGCTGTGGTTTTGGGACCAAGCATCTGCTGGGATCCAGACCAGTTATCACTTAAGTTCCCACTCTCTCGGCCTGTGCCCCAGTACTGCCCTCAACCTCTGGCTCTACCCGTCCTGCCTGCCACCAGTCCCTCCTGCACTCATCCCATACATCCATGCTATCTTCCTGGCATGATTTCCTAACCCAATTCCCTCAAATCTCCAATTCCCCACCAAACCAACCCATGGCTTCCACAGTCCCCAAATGATCCCAAGCCACACTGCAGGCCTCTAAGCCATTGGACCTAAGTCTCTTCTGCACAGACCTACCTAGGAGTCCCATGTAGTAGTCAACCCGCCAACCCATCCACTTCCTAAACTAGTAGCTCCCGGATCCAGAGCAAGGGGGCGGGGCTCAGTGGGGAATTCCCCAAACCAGCAAAAGCACAGCAGCCTTGGGACAGCGGGATTCCCCCACCCTCGAGACACACACACACACACACACACACACACACACACACACACTTGATCTTGGTCCGGGAGCTGCCCACCAGTCCCTGGGCTGGGAGAACAACCCCTACCCCGCCCCCCACCCTGTGGAACCGCAACTACTGTTGCTGATTCAGCACTGGGAGGGACTGAGAGCACTCCATGGCTGGGGCCGGCCCCTCTCTCCCGACTCCAGGCCTCTTTAGGTTTCCAGAGCAACCACTCCGGAGCCCTTGGGCAGCCCCCAGTCCCCCCCACCCCCCACACCAAGAGCTGCAGTGTGGCCTTGCCCGGGGCCAGTCCGCTGGCGCCTCAGCACAGCAATCCCCATAGCCCTACCCAGCCCCCTTGGAGGGCAGGCTGCAGGGCGGCAGGCTGGGGCGGAGGAGTAAGCGGCCAACTGCGGTAGGGCTGAGCTCCCACGGAGTCTGGGTCCCGCCCCTGCCGCTGCTACAGCTTGCTCCGCCCCTGACACTCACTGCAGGGCTACAGAACTGCTGCAGGAGCCACCCCCTCCTCCCCGCCATCCCAGGAGAACCCCTGCACCAGGAGGAGCCCTGGTGAGGGATAAGCCTGGGGGTCTCCCGTGCCTTCAGCACAGCACACCCAGTGTTGCCCACCGCACGCCAGATCCTGACTACCTCCTGCGGAAGACTGCAACCCAGCCAGAGGTCACTGCATGGTCGCAGCTGTCCCCCCATCCCACCTTTGAGGGAGCTGATCTCGTGCTGGATGGCTCTCGAGGGGTCCATGTCTCTGATGAGGGCCGAGGGTGATGCAGCTATCTCCACGCAGAGTCCGGCACCGCACCGAACTGCCCCGGCCAGAGCCGGCTGGGGGAGGAACCGGGAGGTGTGGGGCGGGGCCGGCCAGTCAGAGGCGGGGCTTCAGCTGATCAATGTGCGGGACCAGGCTGCCCTGGGCGCATGCTCCCAGCCATGGGTCGCTCCACCCCGTCCTTCCTAACCTGCTGTCCCACACCTGCGACCCAGCTATCTCCAACCAGGCAGCTCGGCCATAAAACTGCAATGTGGCACATCCAGACAGCCCACCTCAGTCTCCAGCCTCCGCCACCCAGAGCCACACCTGGAATGGCCTGCAGAAACCATGAGCACAGGGCCTGTTCCTGGTCTTGAAGCCCTAACCACCCACTCCTGACTCCAAGGACCTCCTCAAGCTGCCTCCCCTGGGCCATGACTGAAGGGCTGTCATTGTCATGCCTCGGGACCCCGAACAAGCCCATTCACCCAGGAGATGCAGTGATAATACCCTTCCCTTGGGCCCCATCCCTGCTCAAGCCCTTCTCCAACATGCAGCTGATCACCCCACTGGTCCTACAGCTCAAGATGCTTCTGTGCCCCATGGGGACCGCACAAGCCCCAGCCTCTGCCTCCCCTAGCCCTTGGAGGCCCTTGTCTGCTCAGTTCTGTGGGTACTCAACTAACCACCACTTAGTGGCTTACACCAAAACCCTGGGGTCACCACTCCTCATAGCCAGGCCCACAGGATCTGCGGGTACTGCCTATCAGTCCAGTTGTCACCCATCTCCATTGCCATCAGAATGACACGCAGCTCCTTGCTGAGCTGACCCCACCTCTCCACCACCTCCAGGGAACCAACAGCAGCTTCTCTGGGCCACCACCCCAGCCAGTGGCAGTGAACTGTCACTCCTGCCTCTTGGAGAGACCATCTGGACTGCAGGAAGAGGTCAGCTCTGCCTCTCTGCAGGCTGCAGAAACCATCAGGAACACTTGGGCCATGTCCATTCCACGGGGCAGGCACCCCAGGTCCTCTGTGCTGGGTGGGCAGTGTGGAACACAGATGGGTCTCCACAAGATGTGCTAAGAGCCTCGGTCTCCTGAAGACCTAAGTCTCCCTCCCAGCTGCTCAGTTCCACACCCTGCCAGGCAGGACTACCTCCTTAGGGTGCCCACCCTTTCTACAGGCAGGCCTGTGTATGACTGGCCAGGGCTGGGACACAGGACATGGCATCGCCACACACAGGCTAACAGGCAAAGCAGCAGCAGGGGCCAGGCCCACCTGGGCTCCAGACCCAGCAGGCCTGGGGGTCCCTCAGCCTCCACCTCTGCTCTCCCTGGGGCTCAACCAGTCCAGGGCATGAGTGGGTCTCACTAAACACCAGCTGCCTGAATATTTGGGGGAAATAATGAAGTGTGGAATTAAAACAGAATTTTGTGAATTCTTACACTTAAATTCCTACTTTTTTTTCTAAGCTCTGTCTGGATAAATCTAGATTCAGCCTACAAGTGAACTTCTGTATTAAGCCTCAAACAAAACTGAGAGAGATTTATAAATAGATTTAAATAATATGGGAAAGCTCACACATGATTCGGTGTATAAAATTAAATGTCTTAAGATCATAGTTTTAAGCTGAGGCTTAAAGTGAGGCAGACAAACTATTCTGAGAAGGAAGGTTCCAGGGGGTCCTATACCGAACCAGTCCTAAACTTACACCCTCAACTCAGGTGTGTGCCAGGGGCTCTTGGGAAAGCCCTGGCAGCTAAAAGGTCCAGTGAAGAAGCCCTATCAGCCTGCCCTACCCAACCAGCCTGGAATAGCAGCCGCGTGTGACCTTGAAAGATGGGTTGGGGCTAGCCAGCAAAGGAAGAGGGACAGCATGTGCAAAGGCCCTAGGGCAAGAGAGACCCAAAGAATGTGGGAGTAGCTATAGCCAAGAAAGAGTGCTAGAGACCCAGACAAGGGGGCAGGACGTCATCAGGACACACAGATGCTGACTGGTGGTGGAGGAGAGCCTGGGGCAAGAGGTATAGGTGTCTCAGAAGAAACTGAGCCAGTGAAGAGGAAGCTGGACATGCCTTGTTGTCCAGCTTTGGCTAGTCAGAGAGCCCAGGCCCTCCCCAGTACTCGGCTTTTTACCTCCTCACTGCCCAGGAGATCTCACCACACTGGATCCCAATCCACGGAAGTTTTACTGAAAAAGCACATGGGTCTGTGAGTGAGCAAGACACCCCTGCTAGAGGGGGCTCACCAGCATGTGCGAAGGCCCTAAGGCAAGAGAGACCCAGCAGGAAACAGTCTCCAGCTTTTCTGGCCACTGATGGGCCTTCCAGACAGCTGGCAGACTGACCCCGCATAGCTCCCCATCCCAGGGAGAATCCCATGAAATCAACTGGGACAGGGACTCACCCTGGGCAAAGCTAAGTCCTCTCTCAAAGCTTTCTGCCAATCCAAGAGGCAGTGAACACCAATGGGGCTCCAGAACCCAGGCCAGGCCTTCCCTCCTATACTGAATAGCTCCCTCATCTTATAAGTTGGCTTGGCCACATGCCCAGGCCAAGGAGGTGGCTTCTGATCCTGCCCCCACACACCCTAGTTGCACTTGATATGGTCCCACGCCTGAGGTTCTGCCTACTGCCTCCCCTCAGCTTAGTGCTTCTCCCAAGCTCTGCCCATCTTCAAACTTGCCCTTTCCCTACCCCGAGACATCCTCCCACTCAGGACTCACTGACAGTAGCAGAGCATGTCAGTGTGATCCAGGTAATCTGTGCAGGTTGACCCGTGACAGCCTTGGCCCTTCCAGCAAATACTTTCCACCCCGCAGAGACCCAGCCAACAAAACCCACAGCAGAATATCCCTGCAGATGATGTCCCCCTGTGACACATACCCCCTGGCGTGCTCCCTGCATGGACCTGCAGCAAGACCAAGGGAGTCGGCCTGCTCGTACCACATGGCCTCTGACCCACAGCCTTGATGAGCCTAAGCCTCAACCTCTGGGGTGCCACACACTTCTGAGGGAGCAGAGTCTTCCTCTATATGAGAGACCACCCCTGCACTGGGTGTGGCTCAGATGGGCTCAGCCCAAGTCCAGAACACTGCTAGGTGGGCACCCTCCAGGGATCCTGGAGGCCCAGGACTCAGAGATTATCCCTCTGGGCCTATCCACCTTTCTGCCCCTGCAGCCCAGTCCTAGAATACCACCAAAACCAGAAGTCCGCCAGAAACTCACCTTGAGGGATGTTCTGTATGCCAACCACAAGACCCATCAAGGGTTGAGAGAGGTCCCATGGTTCTCAAATGTCTCAAGCTCGCCCTTTTCCCACTGTCTCTACTACCGGGTTTGGCCTGGTTACCACCTTTCTCACCTGAAGGAGCACCAGCTCCTCCATGTTCAACCTGGTGCAGGGGTTAAATGGTGACACCCAAAACATATGTTCATGTCCTTGGAATTTATAAATGTGACTGAATTTTGAAATATTTAAGCTAAAAATCTAGAGACAGGTCATCCTGGACTTTCTGGGTAGGCCCTTTCAAGTCCTCATGAAATGGAAAAGGAGAGGTAGAGACAGAAACTGGAATGATGTCGACACAGCCAAGGGATGGGGAAGCTGGATGAGCAAAGCAGGCTCTTCCCATGACTTCTGGTGGGAGGGAGCCCTGCTGGCACCTGGATTTGGGACTTCCGACACCCAGATCAGTGAAAGGATAAATTTCTGTATATTAGACCATCTCGTTTTGGTAATTTGTTACAGACATCAGTACCAGGAAGAGAGTGCTATCATGACAAATACCTAAAAATGTGGACATGGCTTTGGAATTGGGAGATGAGCAGAGGCTGAAGAATTTTGAGGCACATGATAGGAAAAGCACAGATGGCCTGACCAAACTGTTGGCAAAATTTGGAGTGTAGAAAGCAGGTATCATGGCTTATATCTGTAGTCCCAGCTACTGGGAAGGCTGAGACAGGAGGATTGCTTGTGACCAGGAGTTTTAAGGCCAGCCTGGCCAACACAGCAAGAGACCTCATCCCAAAAAGAACAGAATATGGAAGTTAAAAATGTTGCTGGTGAGGCCTTAGAAGAAAATGAGGAATATACTCTTGGGCACTGGAAGACAGGTGACCCTTTTATACAGCGGCAAAAGCTGGCTGAGTTGTGCTCTATCTTCTAGAACATGGGAGAACATGTAGAACATGTAAGCAGTGAACATGGATATTTAGTTGAAGAGATTTCAGATCAGGCTGTGGTTTTGGCAGCTTATATTAAAGGGCAGGAAAAAGGAGATGAAATGAGGAAGAAACTGTTAAGGAAAAAGGAACCAGCACTGGTGATCTAGGAAATTCACAGCCTACTCATTGTGGAAGAGGCTCACATCGGGAGATCTGCTGTTAGGACAGGGTGCCCTAGAGAAAGCCAGGGGTGTGACTGGATAGATTTCTGCTGAAGAGATGAAGACTGTGATTCATGGGTCAGGTCAACCATTTCAGCAGAGCCAGGAATAGAGATTATCCAAAAAAAAGACACAGTGAGCCCTCCTGTCTAGTGGCCTGGTTCCCTGTGACATTGAAGGGAGACCCACAGGTTTATGAAACTGCTGTGCCAGGAGCAACACTGCCAACTGGTTCTGACGGGTTTGGATGGGAGGAAATGGAGGTGGCATCTTTGCAAGATCCTATAGGCAGGAATGGGATGGTAGACAAATCAATTGCAAACATGCTACCCTTCAAGACAAGGCAGCAAAGTGGCCTCCACTCTTTTCCTGGTCCTGGGCCCCCTCCATCTCAGGGAAAAAGCAGTAAATGTCCCCACCAAGAGTTGTCTGCCCAACTGGGGGACGTTTCCATGCTAAACTATGACTCAACCTCCACAGAGACAAGAGACAGGGAAAAGGAGGGGGGAGCAGGCCCCGCAGGCTCAGGTCTCAAGTCATATGGAGACCCGCAAAGTCTCCAACTAGCATCGACAAACCATAGCCTCATATGCAGCTCTCAGCAGCTCCAGTCTGATTACACCCTGAATAGTCTGGCTGAGCTTCCTGATGTCCTTTATCACCTGGTCCCAGGCATTGTCCTCACCCTGCTGTCTCAACCCCACACCAGGCAGCCACCACCTGTTTCATCAGCCCCCTTCCTTCAGTGTGCCAGCAGCACCTCACAGAGGTTTTTGCCTCTGCTGCAGCCAGGGCTCTTTCCTGGCTGCCTCTTCTTGCCAGCCTGGAGGATCAGAGGGCCTCAGGCTCACAGCACAGGCCCCAAAGCACCATCCCCAGCCTGACTTCCCTAGCTTGGCCAGGCAGTTTGAGCATCTTGGCCTCTCCTTATGCCTCTCCTCTAGGTCTCACAGTCATCGCCAGTTTTAGACACCCAAAGCTGAACTCCTGTTCCTCTATCTTCCCTGATACACATGCCCCTTGGTCCCCAGGCTCCATCTCCACAGCCACCAATGTGGTCTCTCCTCGGCAGCTTCTCTGGGGATACCCAAGAGTCTTTCCACCAGGTGGAATTCCTGCAGTATCCAGCCCAGAGTCTACCTGTCCCTCCCATGTACCACAGGGTACGGTTTGGCCCAACGGTGTAGCAAGACCCTGCTTTCAGGAAGCTGAGTTTGGTGGGAGAAGAGATATTTAAAATCTTCCTTGTTGCCCATGAACCCATCTCCAGACTCTGAAGATATGACACCCATAATCTCCTATATATCTCAGCCCATAACAAATTCCAAGCAGGTTGAAGGTGGAGACATTAAGAAAAAAATTAACCCGTACTAGAAGAAATTCTTTTTTTTTTTTAAAGAGAGAGAGAGAGAGAGAGAGAGAGAGAGAGAGAGAGTTTTTTAATATTTATTTTTTAGTTCTCGGCGGACACAACATCTTTGTTGGTATTTGGTGCTGAGGATCGAACCCGGGCCGAACGCATGCCAGACGAGCGCGCTACCACTTGAGCCACATCCCCAGCCCCTAGAAGAAATTCTTGACAGATGATTTTTATAAAGGAAAGCCATTCAAAACACGCATAAAATCCAAAGGTCATAAAATAAATGACTGATGAATTTTAAAAATTGATCATGCCAGGCACAGTGAGGGCATCTATAGTCCCAATTCTTCAGGAGGCTGAGGTGGGAGGATCACTTGAGGATAGGAGTTCAAGGCCACCTGGAGCATCAAGAGAGATCCTGTCTCAGATAAATAATCAATCAATCTAGCCAAAGACACTATCATCAAAAGTAAACCAAAATTGATCCATGGTATGAGATGTCAGGATAGTGACTAGGAACACTCCCCCGACCCCGTACTGGGGATTGAACCAAATGTGCTTTACCACTGAGTCAAAACCCCAATCCTTTTTATTTTAAACAGGGTCTAAGTTGCGTAGAGTCTAAGTTGCTTAGGCTAGCCTCGAACATATGAACCTTCTGACTCAGCCTCCAGAGTTACCTCGACTACAGGTGTATAC